TTCTCTATCTACAACAGGTGAGGGAGAACCATGATCTGTAGTGAAGCAGGTAGTTAGGAGAGAGAGACTATGAAGGGCCTAATTAGGGGGAGAAGGGAAGGGCAGGTCCTCTCCTGGCAGCATTGCTCAGGCGTCCACATGCTCTGAGCTACCTGGTGCTGCACAGTTCTTTGTTTACCCTGCAGTGATGGCCGTGTCCCAGTGGGAATGTGTGTGCTGTTGCCCTCTGATTGACAGGCTAAAGGGCTGACCAAATGGCAGTGTTGCAACCTGGGTGACAGAAAAATCTTGTGCCTTCAGAGCTTATCATCCTGACCTGCCAGATCACATGGAGAAGGCTAGCAATGTTTTGTGTTTTGGGTTGGGTTTGGGTTTTTTTTTGTTTTTTTTTTAATGAGGATGATACAGGTACAGACTGCTACAGAAAGGTTTTGTCTGCTTTTCTTCCCTGAGGATGCAGCCTTCACTCCACCTTGGTTTGTCTCCTAGAACATCCTGCAGTTGAAAATGATACTGTTAACTTCACTGTCTGCCAAAATTCACTGTCAGTGGCTCAGGCTGGAATTTGATCTTGTCCAGAGCTACCTTGAGATGAGCACCTTTGTCTTCTGGAAGATCCTTGTTGACTTTATGCTCTTGGGAAAGTAGTAAATCCCACTGAAGGTAGCGGGGGCATGAAGTGGTGTCTTGCAGTGGCTGTAATATAATGTGTGCCTTATCAGAAACACTTTTATTTTTCCACCCCTGCCCTTCCTGACAAGCCTGCTCTTCTCTTTTGCACATCAGATCCCTTAGAATGATGCCAGGAAAAGGGAATAAAAAGAAGTATCCTCAGATCAAACCTAGTTACGAGTCCAGAAGCACTCGGGGGCTCTTTGTTCTCGGCACTGCTAGTCATTCTGTTGACTTCAGGAAATCTGCTGGGGGCTTTATCCATGGATTCCGGTATACAAGTGAGTACTGGGGTGTAGAGAAAGGGCAGAGGTGGGAATTGTTCCCCCCTTCGAAGGAAGAGTTCATAGCTTACTGGTGGGAAGAGATCACCCTTAGTCTTGTGCTGGCAGTAGGAACAACAAACACAGCCAAGCTGCAGCTGCGTTGTCTGAAGTGGAGGAGAAGTGACTTGGGGTTGTATCTGAAGTTTTTGGTTGTCTGTCTTTGTTTTGTCTTGTGTCTCTCTTGCCCATTGTCTCTTATTTATGTAACACAATAGATTTCTGCCTGCCAGATGCTCTGCCTCGTGACGGGCTGTGGGTGAGAGGTCTGTGCTGTGGAGTTAAAACCCAGCGGCTTTGGGCAGTAGAGAGAATTTCCATCTTTATGCGTATGTGCCCATCCTTATCATTAAAGGACTGCTCAGAAGTAATGAAATATCCCTGAGGACCCCCCCGCCCCCTCACCAACCACTTAGCATCACATCAGCTTTCAGAGGGCATCTCCACTGCAGTTACCAGCAATTGGGGTGGGAGATCCTGAGCACGGATGAGCTGTAAAGCTTATTTATTGTGTCCTGCCAGTATCTGTGTGCGCTGCAGCAGAGCGATCGAATTTCTTAAAAGCATCAGCTTGGATTTTTAAATAAGCTGTCTCTGTTTCTCTCAATGTCTTAGCTCGTGCCGTCCACCGCCTATTGGAAAACCGTCACCATGGTGTCCCCTGGCCATCCACAGTCTACCCTATTACACAGCTGACCAATTCCATCATCAAACGGGTGAACGAGGCCTCGGGCCTCTACCAGATGTTCAGTGTCCTGGCTGACATCATACTGCTGAGAGAGTGAGTGAGTGAGTAATTATTCCCAGCACTGCACTCCATCGTTCCATCCCTTTTTCTTTACCGTTGCTTCCCATGGTGCCACCACACAAATTGCTCTGTTGCTGCCTAATGACGTTACCGTCATATAAGCAGCCACCTCAGAACCTGTGCCACTGCCACGACTGGTGCCACTGTGCCTAATTCTGCCGATTACTTCTCTCAAGGGGCTGAAGCGGTCCAGACCATCCCTCTAGGCTCAGAGGTGTGGTACCTTTTTACTGTCTGCAGGAAAAAGCTTTCCTTGAGCAGTGCTCACGGAGAGAGGAATCCCATAATCTGGGAAAATAATGGAGTCTTTTAACAGTATCTGCAGCCTTCATAAGCTCTTCATCAAGTCCAGCCCAGATCTGTAATGACCAAAAATAATTACTATCTAATGGCTCTTTGGCCTTAGCCTTGACCAGCTGAGGGGTTGTTGGATCCCTGCTGACTTTTCTCTGGTGGAAAAGTCTTAATGGTTGTGGTTGCAATTCCACGGACCCAGTTGGAGTCCTGGCCGAGCTGGAAATGCAGACGGGGAGAAAGGCTCCCAATGGGCTGTTTGTCGTCATCATGGAGTACGGGAGGAATTTCTCTGGGGCTGACAAGGATGTCTTCTACTACAACCGAGCTGTGGGAGAGGCACAGCATGCTTGGCAGTCCAACTTTTTGCATCCTGTTATTTACTATTACAAATCCCTCCCAACAGGTAAACTTCCCTGCCTCTCCCTGCTAATTATCTGATCTGATCAAAACGGAGAGTGATGAAGATACTTCAGAGCCAAAGAAGGGGAGCGAGGGGGTGTACCCGAAGGCATTGCCCACCCTTCTCCTCCACCTCCTTCAGGTCCATCCTCTGGGACACCAGCTACCACTGTGTGAGCTAAAGGAAAAGCTGGGAGTTGGCAAGAAATTTCCATCGGTCAGGCCAATACGAGGTGGGGGGTGGTGGTTTTGTTGTACCAGAGACTTCACATTTGAGAATAGGAACAAACAGGTGTGCTGGGAACTGCCCCATTCCCAAAAAGAGGAACGTTGCTTTCCTTTGGCTGATATTTTGCAGAGTCCTGGCAGATGAGGCTGGGCTGTTCAGTGTGACCACTGAAAGAAAGCTGGTCTCTCTGGCTGGCCCAGGTCTTGGAGGTCACGCAGTGGTAGAGGCAGCCGAAGGCAGGGGTTTGAAGATGGGTGTTATATCCAGCAAACAAATGCGCTCAGAATAGATTTCCTTGGGAAATGAGCGTGCGGAATCTTTGTCTCCAGAAACCTAAGGTCAGGGTCTGGCCGGCCTTGCATGGAAAGAAGCGTGACGGGTAGCAGCGTTAAAGCTTGAATGCAGCTCAGCCCGTCTGGCAGTCCCTGCCCAGGGGGAACAGGAGCGAAATGACAGGAAGTACTGCGGGCAGGGACCCGGGGCAGCTGTGCAGTGGCCGGGCTGTTGAGGGCAGAGCTAGCAGAGGGGATTGCAAATGAAAGCAAGGTAGGGATTAAAAAGGTCAGGACAAAAGCTGGAACAGCTGTCATAGCTGCTTTCCACTCCCCAAGCTCTTTTTAATGCCATTTTGATTCTGAGAGATTCCCTTAATGTTCTCTTGGCAGAGCGTGAGATGAGACTTCGGCCCCCAGATTGGCCTCTCCCCCGCCCAGATGCCATCCATCACATCGTGGAGGACTTTCTGACAGACTGGACAGCCCCAAATGCTCACATCCTGCCGCTGAGGCGGTTTTTGGAGAACTGCCTCAGCACTGACCTGCGCAATTTCTTTGCAGGTAATTTGAGCACAGGGTTGAGGTGGCGGGAGGAGGAGGGGGGATGTGAGGGACACGCGACAAGAGCAATCTCTTCTGCAAATAGCTGAGACCTCGCTGTGGTCTCGCCATCAGTCGCACCTCTCTGATGCATTCCCCAGGCAGTAAGAAGTGCCGGCGCTGTGTGTCCATTCCCAAATAGCCTTTGCTCTCGCTCATCGCCAGAAAGAGACTGCCTCAGGTGCACACAGATTTAGGGAAAGGTGCACAGAGGTTTGGTTCAGTCCCTTTTCTGCCTGCAGCTTTCCTTCCTCCTCCATTATCCGAATGTTCCTTTGTGCCATTGGGTACCGGATCTCTTTGTGTACTGATGACGGGATTGCTTTCCCGGGGGAAATGGGAGTCCTGGGATGTGAGGGCTGGAGAGCCTCTGCTGCCTCCCTTCCTGGGCTGAAGACTGCTCTGGGAAACCTCCTGCAGGACCCCCACATGCCACACGGAGGGAAGCAATCCCACGGTACAAAGAAGGTGGCAGAGGGCTGCAAACTGAAATCCAGCTCCTTTTCCTCTCAGAGTGCAGACTGGAGATCCCACCCTGCATCCCCCGAGCTCTGCAGAATTGAGCCTGTGACTCTGCTGCCACCCAGGGCAGGGCGCTGGGTGGGAAATTCCAGTCATCTTCCCTCGTCCTCTCTGCCTTTTGTTCTGAATGAGTCCCCAAGAGCTTATGGGAGTTACCCTCTGCCGAGGCTGACTTTTGATCCTTTTCCCCCCCGCAGAGTCCTGTTTCCTGTTTGCCTTCACCCGTCAGAAGCTGCCTCCCTTCTGTCGGCAGGGGTATGCAAGAATGCAAGGGCTCGTGGGGAGCGAGGGGCTCCGGCGCCACGCGGTAGAAGCCGGCCTGCTGGAGGATTATGCTCTCGTGGACTTTTTGGGCGACAGACTCCCCGAGAGCCGGGAGGGGTCACAGGACCAGCTGCTGAGAGATCACGCGATACCGGTTCATCCGCTGCAGCATCTCGTTAATGCCAAGGACGAGCTTTAAGCTTTCGCTCCACGTTGCAACCCACAGGTGCTGTCGTGACAATACCATAACAGAGATCCACAGCAGGATTCTGCCCTTTCCCGCGCACCTTTTCTGTCCCCACACCTTCCACTGATCACGAGTTGCCAAAGACCTGCTCAGATCTTGCTGTTGCAAAGAGGACCACCGTGCTCTGAAGGATAAGCGAGGGGCCAAAACCCAGTGACGCTGAGGCTGCCGTGTCAGCCTTGCAGGGTGCAGAGTTGCCTGAAGGTGGTGTCTGTGTTTATCTCGCAGACCAATACCTGCAGCGACATCCGGAGAGTGCAGGAACGCCCAGGTAACTTAAAATGTCACTTCTCTCTTCCAAGGTGACCTGCTCGTGCCCCGCAGCAGCCCGGCGCGGGCTCTCTGGTCTCTGCGGGCCGTACGCTGCGTATACTTGAAGATTTGATATATACTGGATGTATACTGGACATGAGCCGGCAATGTGCGCTGGCAGCCCAGAAGGCCAACCGTACTCTGGGCTGCATCGGGAGAAGCGTGGCCAGCAGGTCGAGGGAGGTGATTCTGCCCCTCTACTCTGCTCTGGTGAGACCTCACCTGGAGTACTGCGTCCAGCTCTGGAGCCCTCAGCACAAGAAGGACATGGACCTGTTGGAGCGGGTCCAGAGGAGGGCCACAAAAATGATCCGAGGGCTGGAGCACCTCTCCTGTGAGGACAGGCTGAGGGAGTTGGGCTTGTTCAGCCTGGAGAAGAGAAGGCTGCGGGGAGACCTGATTGCGGCCTTTCAGTACCTAAAGGGGGCCTACAGGAAAGATGGGGACAATCTTTTTAGTAGGGCCAGCTGTGACAGGACAAGGGGCAATGGTTTTAAACTGAAGCAGGGCAGGTTTAGACTGGATATAAGGAAGAAATTCTTTACAGTGAGGGTGGTGAAACACTGGAACAGGTTGCCCAGAGAGGTGGTGGAGGCCCCATCCCTGGAAACATCCAAGGCCAGGTTGGACGGGGCTCTGAGCAACCTGATCTGGTTAGCGGTGTCCCTGCTCCTGCAGGGGGGTTGGACTAGATGACCTCTAGGGGTCCCTTCCAACCCCAAACATTCTATGATTCTATGATTTGTTTGCGCGCCAAATCCCGAAGCGGTGCTCCGAGCGGTACTCCGGGCAGACGTCGTGGTGGTTTTTTTGCATTTGCGCTAGGGCGGTTGCGTAGCTTGAGAGGAGAGGGGCGGTCTTTTTGTCGTGACCGTACAGGTGGGATAAATCATCATTTCCCAGAGAGCGCTCGCCGCAGGAGAGTCTTCCCCCCACCGAGGATGAACAGCTTCCCTGGAGCGCCCGGGAGGCAGAGACTTGCACCGCGTTCGGCTCCCGCTGTCCTTCACGGTTCTCTTCTCCCGCAGCGAGCGGCCCCAACGGTCAGCCCCTGTCTCTTACCAAGCATGACCGACATTTCTCCTGGTTGCACTGTCCCATCAAGAACATTTCGGGTGGACTTCGATGTTGTTAAAACGCTTGGTCTTCTATTTCTTTTATTCCCCTCCAGTCACCTTGAGATCTCACTGGCACTGACCGGGAGCCTGTCCCTCTGTCAGCCGCCTGCGTTTGTCTGTCACCTCCCTGCAGGCTCCTTCCTCGGCCCGGGAGCTGTTTCCCGGCGCCTGGAAGAAGGTTCCCCCTCCGCCCTTCTGCTTCCCGTGCCCTAGGTGGGGTGGGGGGAGGCTGTACCTCCAGGTACCTAAAAAACCCTTTGGCCTCCCCTGTCGTTTCTGTGCAGCCCCCACCCCGCCTCCGCCTCGTCCCCACAGGGCCCGGGGAACAGAGGAGCTTCCTCCCGCGGGCTTCGCCCGGCTCTGCCCCAGCCCCAAGGCGGGTCCGGGAAGGGCTCTCGTGGCCTGTGGTTGCCGGACTGCTG